TTTTTCTCTCATTGATTATAGGAGCTCTCTGTATCTGAGGGAAGGAGCCTTTTGTCCGTGGTAGCAGCTGTAAACTTTTCTCCAGTGTGTCTTTTACCTGGCTTTTGAAGTTTTTGTTGCCATGTCAAATTTATTTTTTTATATAGTTGAATTTATCAATTTTTCCATATCACTTTTTTGATTTGTATTATACTTAGAGAAGCATCATCCACTGGAAGTATTTTTCAAAATCTGTATTTCTCATAGTACTTTTATGGGTTTGTTTACTTTTACATTTAAATATGGTTCATTTGAAATTGATCCTGATGTAAGGTGTGGGAATGGTTTTAATTTTATTTTCTCCCCAGTTGGTTGGTGTTTCAACCTCATTTATAAAGTAATCTGCTTTTCCCCATTGATTTAGGATAGCAGCCTTACCATAAACTGTATTCTTAACATATTTTGGGTCCATTCCATTCCATTCCTTCTGTAGACATTTGCTTCCAGTATATGTTTTAATTATTAACTTTAATATATTTTCATATCTAAAAGGCTGATTTCACCTGACTGTGGGACACATTTTTAAAGTGACACCTTTATTTCGGTTTTATTGAGGCATAATTGACATGTAAAACTGTAAACTGTTAAATATGTCTATCATTGTGATTTGATATATTGGAAGTACTCCCATCCCCATCTAGTTAACTAACACATACATCACTTCACATATTTATCTTTTTTTTTTTTCTGGTGAGAACATTTAAGTTCTGCCGTCTTAGCAAATTCAGTTATACAATATTAGGGTTATCGGCTGTGGTCACCGTATTATTCATTAGGTCCTCAGACCTTATTCATCTTATAGATGAAAGTTTGTACCTTTTACCAGCCTCTCCCTATTTCCCCCACCCCCAGTCCCTGACATCCACTTTTCTACTTTTTTTTTATGAGTTTGACTTTTTTTAGATTCCACATTAAAGTGATACCATGCAGTATTTGTCTGTCTTACGATACCATTGATTGGTTTTCCATCTGTATTTATATGATCAGTTATCTAATGTGTATTCATAGGATAACATCTTTTTTTCTCTGCTGACAAATTTCCCTCCCCATGTGTATAGTGCCAGAAAGTTGGTAAATTCCAAAATCATGAGATACGAGTTCAGTTGAGAATGTGGGGGTAGGCTTCCCATTATCATCAATTAATGTGCCTTGCTTGACAAGTAAAACTGGTAAAAGAGAGCATCTTTAGACAAAGATTCTGAAGAGGCAAACGCCCACAGTTCACATGGACCATGTAGACAGGTGAGCTCTGTGAGTAGAGGCAAGCGTCCTTAAAATTGCCACACATGTGGCAGAACTAATGGAGGATGCATCGCTGAGTTCAAAGGTCCAAATATTCTGGCTTAAATGTAGGTCCCCAACATATAGGAAATAGAACTTTTCAAAGTTAAACAGTGAGAGAAATCACACAGTTTTCCTTTTTTTCCTGGGCATAGTTGTATGAAAATGAATTTCAAAGTATCTTCTCATTGCATTGGGCTCCTTGGCAAGAAATGAAATCTGTATAATGCATTACCTCTGAGCTTTTCTTTAAGGGCTCAAGGACAGACATATGGATAATGGTTTAAAAATATAAATATGGTCTTTCCAGTCATAGAAATCTTCCGACCTGAAAGGTGCTTTTTCCCGCTTTCCAAAAAATGAAAGGCTACAGACTCACTCATAAAGCACCAGAGCAAAGTATGTGGTATCTGACACTAAAAAAAACCGAGCTGTACTTTTCTTGAGTATTGCAGCCCTGTGATCAGACAGAGTGACTTAGAGTCAAGTGTAGATGCCAACTTGTTGTGTTACCTTCCAGCCACAAAGCCCTGTAAGTATGCGTTTTTGTTTGGTAAAATTATAGAAGAGATGCTATTTGGTAAGATGTTTTGTTCTATTTTAGAACCTAGAGTTCATCTAGGAAAATGGCTTCACTTGGTTTTCTCATGTACTTAAACCATTCATCTTTGTGTATGTGTGCATGTGTGTGTGCCTGTGCATGCATGCATAGGGAGAAGTACGGACTTACAGGGTCATTGTAGATACAGTTATCCATCCCATCCCATTATAGCCTGGCCTTGATTGTTAGCAGTCTCTACTGAGTCCACGCGGGGAGATCTGACACCTTCTGATCTGTGAGCACATGCATGTTGACAGTTTGGGATTTATGGAGGTTCTGTTAGGAACGAACACTGCCAATATATAAGGAGTTTGAAAAGAATTCTGTCTAAACAGAGCTGCAGCCTTCTTTTACAGAGTGTGCAAATATGAGCTAGTTTAGTCTTAACTGGGATAAGTCTTACAGACAGTCCTGTGAGGATTGTAAATGCAATTTGCATAGTCAAAAGTTTCAGAAATTAAAAAAAAAGTTTCAGAAATGCTCTAAATATAGTGATAGCTCCTGCATGAGATGTCATTCATGAAAATAATGACATTTTTATGAAGTGGAGAATTAGAGAATACCTGTTAAATATTCCTTGGTAACATTAAGTCCTTCAAAGGCAATGATTATTCTTACTCATCTTTATAGTCTTAGCACAGTGTCTTGGATTGAATAGGCACTTACTACTTATTGAATGAAGAAAGGAATAAATGAAACTCCTTCCTTGGACTGTTTGAAAGAGATTACAGTGCTTCCTTGAAATAGAAAAAACAGTGCATGCTCATGCTTGCTGCTCCACTTTGAGAAAAAGATTGATTTTGTCCTGTATTTTTAGAAACACGGTCACTTTAAAAATTACTCTGTTCATTAAAAAAAAATTACACACATTTTTCATGCCACATTAGTTTCAGTGTGATTTCTAAACAGCAGTCTCTAGAATTAAAGAAACAAGATCCCTGTTAGCTTACCCTGACAACTCTTGTCCGATAGTTTAAAGAAATAACATGTAATACATTTATCCAGCATGCACGTGTGTGTGTGTGTGTGTCTGTGTGTGTGAGACAGATGTAGAATGATTCAGTGCCAGAGTCACTTGGTCTGGGTGAATTAAAACAGGAACAGAAAACTTTCACTTTCCAGAGTATTATTTTTCATTTATTGACTTTTTTCCATACTGATAATTTTGCGTAAATTACCTATCAGAGAAGGCACCCGTAGGATGCTTAGCTGTGATCCTAATCATAAATAGATCGTATATTATTTAGGGGGCTGTGTGATTCAGTTTGCCTTGTTAGTGATGTAACTAGGAATTCACTATTTAAATTCATCTTGTGTACCAGTATTCTTGTTGAATAGTATTTCCCAATATGAGAATCATAAAAATTTATTAGTTGGGCTTTTGGCCTTAGTACCTTGTTTATAGCTATGCATTTTGAGCTTGTTAATCAGTCCTTAAGTATTCCTTCCCCTCCAGCAATCTTTGAAGTAGGCAAGAGAGGTTTTGAAATCTTATTGAATGGGTGGATACGGAATCACAGTAGTGGACCACAGTCTCCCTCCTGCCTTGACTTTTAATTCCTTTATGGAGAGTAGGGATACACGGTGGAACAGAACATTTTAGAGTATTATGACTAAATTAGCTATGACCAGAAGAAATCAAACAAAGGAGGATCTAGGAATAAATTGTAGAGTGCCCCCAAGGCCGGTACTGCATTTGCATGTTTCATTCAAAATGAAACTTACTGATTTTTATGTTGCCATAATGATTACCTATTTTTAAAAAAATACCCCCCTTTCATACTCATACTATTTAGGTTACAATTCTGTATTAAACTCAAAGTTCCCAGTTGCTTTGTTTAAGCAAAGGTTGCAGCTAAACATTAAGACTTTCTCACATGTAGAGGCTTTGAGTTTTGTAGCTGGCAAGGAGCCTACGGCTCAGGAAATTGAGTGACTTCTCCAATTTTGTGCCAGAAACAGGTCTAGGGCTTTGGTTTTCTGATTACACAAATATGCTTTTTCTTCCGCACTGTGTTGTGGATAGCCACGTTTTAAACAAAATTTGTGATCTTAGCACATTTGACCCCAGGATAATTTTTTAATTTGATGTGTAATCCCAGAACATTTGAAGTTTTGGGTGTACACTGTGGCCTGTGGGCCCAGTCTAGCCTGCCACCTGTTTTTGTGTATCAAGTTTAATTGGAACAGTCATACCTGTTTGTCTGTTTTGTCTGTGGTGCTACCACGACAGTGTGAGTAGTTGCAACAGCAATCATAGCACCTGCAAAGCCCAAAAGATTTATTATCTGGACCTTTAGCCCTTCGTATAAGATACAGATGCTTTAAAAATAAACGCAGTCAATTTGCTGTGAATCATGAGGAAACTGCTTTCTGAAAAAAGCTAAAGGGTTAGCATGTTGTTGAGAAATATGAATGATCTGTGCTAAAAGACTAAAAAGCCTACCTGCATTAAAAATCAAATGGAACTCAGTTTGTAGGGAATCTCTGTGCCCCTGGACTCAAGAGACTCTAGTTGCCAGAATGAAACCTCTGACTTAAATGGAATTGACTCAGGATACAAAATGTCTCAGATTGTCATTTTTGTTGTGTCACCCCTGATGGAACTTGAACACTCACCAAATGTCCTTCTTGGCAGGTGGAGTGGATCCAACAGCAAGTGGTAAAAAAACGGACCAAGAGGGATTATGACTTCAGTCGTGCCCAGTCTACTTACTTCAACGATCCCAAGTGGCCGAGCATGTGGTATATGGTGAGCTCACCTGGCCTGAGGCCATGTCGTCTGGTGCTGTGTTGTGCCCGGAATGTCTTTTGGGACTGGGAGGACCCAGAAACAGTGACCAGGGACTTTTTCCCGTTTCGAGACCCACCGTTGGCGATTGGTTGATGGCACACGCTGTTATTTTTTCTGGATCTTTTTGGAACTTAGCTCTTTGGTTCTAAGGAGAAAGAGAAGGAAGTTCTGACTCACGGTGTTTATGTTTGAGGTCTTACTCTGTAGTAGTTGTCTAAGTTGGGGCCAGAGGATAGAGAAATACAGTAAGGTCAGATACCCTTAGACCTATCAGTAGTTGTGGTCACCTCTGGTACACATTTACTCCACCCTGAAACCAGTCTGGCTAAAGGATACTGGCTCTTGGAAATCACTGAAGTGACTCTGCTGGTAGGTAACAGACTGCTGACCTTAATTGGCTCAATGTGCCTTCTCAGTTTTGGTCACAGTTTTTAAAACGAGACTAGGGGGAAAAAACCAGTTGGAAAGCGTTTGACTTGTAGCTGGTTCAGTGGTTCAGGCAAAAACTTTTGGTGAGGGAGACTCAGCGTGATGACCAGGATGAGGTACCAGTTCACTTGATGTCGCTTCCTTTGAAAGGATACTTCTTTAGTCCCAGGGTTTTATGTTCATGATCGCTGAAAACGTAATTAGAATATTTTTCATCGTGAAATCCATGTCACTAATTTGCTCTATAAGCTGCAAAAGGACCTTCACTTTTCTCTTGTTTTGAACATCTTTCTTGCTAATTGTTTCCGGTGTATTTCCCCCTGACCTATTTTTTGTGGTCCCTGACCCTGCTTCTCTACCAGTTCCTTACATTTCACAGACCTGCCTCGTGCTTTTCTGCCTCCTTGTGTTTCATTCTTCCTGCTGGGGGTGGTCTCATCCTTTTCCACCTCTGTGGGTCGGGATTCTCCGTCCCGCAGGGCTGACGCCCAAGGCTGGCAGGCCCACGTCTCCCGTGTCCTCACCTGTCAGCCCTCGTCCTTCCTCTGCTCTCCTGCGCCCTCTACCCTGCCTCCCTTGGCGCTTTGTTTCATAGTTATTAATATATTAAAATTTCCTCTGCTACATTGTGGAGAAGAGGTCACTTATATTCCACCCCTGCACCCGAGGACCTAACCTAGCACCTAGCAGCACTAGGAATTTGTGTTTATTTGGAGATAAGTGAATGTGGCTAGTGTTTCTCCCAGTGTCCCTTTCCTTCGTCTTGCCCAGAAATGGAAGGTGTGGAAATATTTTGGACCTCCAACAGAATTTTACACTGGAAACTCTTTCATGCGTAAAGGATAAAAGGAAGCTGTAAAGCTAAGTTCACAGGCAGGTGGGACTCTAGACAAGACATCTGAGTAGAAATCACCTGAGGGGGCAGTAAGACTCTTGACAGCTTATTAGCTCCAAGGCCAAGAACAAGTGAACCAAAAGGGAAGGTGTTAGAGAGAGTGTTGGCAGGATCTAAGGAGCTTTGGCTGTGCGGACGAGGTGATGAGAATATAATGGGATTAGGAGATAGGATGGAAGCAAAATCCCTCTGCACCCCTGTTGTAGGCCAGAGGGCGTGAGACCCTTTTTGCCCTAACATTCCTTTTTTGGAAGAAAGAGACAAACGGCGGTCTGCGCAGGTCCCACTGTCGATGGAAGTACACTGCAGCAGCCTTCCCTGACCTCTCGTCGCTCCAGCAGGGCAGGCGGGGTGGTGGTAGCGACCGTGGCCAAAGTGACTGCAAAGTTTCAGTGCCTGTGGAGTGAGATCGCCTCATTCCCAAGACTCACTGATGTTTCTTTGGAAATTCTCTTTCGATATGAGGAAAGGTTGAGGGAGGAGCTTTTGTTTGGCCATGTAAAATGTTGGAGGTTTTTCAGCACATATTTGATTATAATTCAACTAGGTAACATTTATTGAGCACTCACCACGGGCCAGGGGATGTGCCAATATTTTTCTAACGTAGTGTGAACAAAAAGCGTGTGTTGATATTGGCTGGGTATGTTAAGAGTGAGGAATCTGAGGCTCATCATATTTAAGTAATTTGCCTAAAATCACCCTGCCTGAAAGTGGCAGAGCAGAGATGCCATAGAGGCAGGCTGATGGGAGTCCATGAGGTTACGTGGCATCCTACCCCCAGCCTTCTACTATTTTCAAGTGCTGGCTTAAAGAAGACACCACTCCAGCCCTCCAGGAGCTTCTAAGATTTCCATGGAGAAATGGCTAAAATACAAGGCAGAATGGTGGGTACCATGTAGGATGGGCAGAGTATCTTGGGGACAACCAAAGAGCTTCAGAGCTTCCTATTAAATAATTACTTTTCCCTTAATAAAAGGGGTGGGAAATGTGTTACACACCATGTGTTTTTTTCTGTCAAGAGTAGTGATAGACTAGGAGCCAGAATTTCAAAAATCCACAAACATGGATTCAAGTCCCCATTATTTCGCTTATTCTGCCCACGATTGAACCACTCAGACTCTTGTCAACTACAAGTTTCTAGCATTTATGTATGAGTTAGCTCTTGCTGGCGAGCAAATCACAGAACTTAGTCCTTTGTTGTTGTTGTTGTTTTTGTTTTTGTTGTTTTATATGGGCCAAAGACTTTATTTATGTATTCATTTTTAGTGGAGGTAACGGGGATTGAACCCAGGACCTCGTGCATGCTAAGCATGCTTTCTACCACTGAGCTCTACCCCCTCACCCTGGAATTAGTTCCTAAAGCAATGACCTCATGGGTTCCACGGGTCAGGCATTCAGACAGGGCCCAGTCGTGATGACTTCTCTGTTCTGTGATGTCTGGGGCTTCTGCTGGAAGTCTCAAAGGTGTGACTGGAGCTGGAAGATCCACTTCCCAGGTGGCCTCGTCACCTGGCTGGTTCCTCTCCACGTGGGCCTCACCAGGGGGCTGCCTGACTGTCCACTTAACGTGGCTCTGGCTTCCCTCAGGACAAGTGATTTAAGAGGTCGTGTCGCACGCAGTGATGTCTTTTATGATCTAACTTCAGAATTCTCGATTACTTCTGTAATTTTTTTGTTGGTCACATGTATGCACTGCGAGGGGTGTGTAGACTAGGAGGCGAGGATGGTCGGGCAGCTGGTTACCATAATTAAATGCAATACTGCATGGACAGCCTTTAGCACGGGGCCTAACTCTAGAAAATTCTCAATCCATTATAATCATTCTTATTCTCTTTTAAATTACAATGCACGTGGGTTTCTTTTGCATCTGTTATTTTCATTGCTCTGTGTTGAAGAAGGATGTGATCACATGTCCAGTGGGCACATCGTTTGGTGCACTCCGGTGACACGTCAGGGACAGAGTTGAGGCAAGATGTTGGTTTCCTTCTTCCTTTTTCTCAGCCCTGGGCTCTGCTGCAGTGTTTTTGAGGGCTGCTTGGCGAGCCCCTGTAGGGTCCTGCCTTCAGCTCGTTAGCCTAGGCCTGGTCCTGTCATTCTATATTTATCACAGGAGAATGGAGATTAAAGAATGGCATGAAGTGTGCCTGAGTGTCTCTTTTAATTAATTTAAAAGCTTTGCCCCTGTCGCTCCTCCCCTTGGAAACCAGTATGTGAAACCCTTACATCCAGCCTTGAGGCTTGGGCAGTGTGTTCAGGGAAAGGTGCATTTGCAAGAGTTTGTTATGGAGATGATGGCTGTCTAATTACTCCCCTGTCCTGAAACACTGCACTCTGGTGCCCAGGAGTGGGGAGGGCCCAGTCCTAGAAACGGAGCTTACTTCCCGTTCCATCGACCAACTTCGGCATCTACTCTTTGTCCAGCGTGGTGGCAATACTGAGGATTTAAGAAAATGTGATTCGTGCTTCTAAGAAGATCAGCAAAGCAGGAGAGGAGTATCCAGGTGCCAATGATAGTTTGCTGGGGAAGCGGCTCCTCCCTGAAAGTTCCTCTGGGATCACATGAACACATCCAGCTACTGCTCCTTGGACTTTGGGCTATAATTTTTTTTTTTAATTGAAGTATAGTCACTGACAGTGTGTCAGTCTCTGGGCTACAGCACAATGTCCCAGTCATGCAGATATATATATAAATTTGTTTTCATATTCTTTTTCATTAAAGGTTATTACAAGATATTGAATATAGTTCCCTGTGCTATACAGAAGAAATTTTTTAAATCTATTTTTCTATATAGAGGCTAACATTTGCAAATCTCAAACTCCCCCATTTATCCCTTCCTACCCACTTTCGCCGGCAACCGTCAGATTGTTTGGGGCTATAATTTTTGATTGCAGGTTTGCTTCTTCCATTAAACATCCTGAGTAGTTTTAAAAGCCTATCCAGGCTTGGGTCCCACCATCAGAGAGTCTTATTTTGGGTATAGAGCAGGGCTCAGGCAGTGGAATTTCATCAGAACTCCCTGGTGATTCTTGTGTGCAGTCAAGACCACTAAGTGTTGCAGCCAGGAGTCCTGAGTTGCTCGCTGCCCGCCTCTGGTAAATGCTCAGTAAATGCTAATCAAATAAGTAGATAAGTAAACTGGGTATTTGATGATCTTCATAGGAGACAAAATAATTGCTCACATTTATTATGTGTCAAACACTTTGGCAATAAAATAATACACGTAAAATTTTGACAGTGTTCCAGTGAGTTGGGAACTTTTATCATCTTCATTTTACAATGAAGAAATGAAAGCATAGAATAGTAACATGTCCAAAGGCACACTGTTTACCAGGGACAGATCCTGGTATTCAGACCCAATTATTTCCAACTTCTCTGTGCCTGGTTCTCGAACCAGCAGGCATCAGAATCACCAGGAAGGATTGCTGCCCTCCCCCACGCCCCCCAGCAGAGATGTGAGAATTTGCATTTCTAACCAGTCACCAGTTGATGCTGATGCTAGGGTCTCAGGACCGCTTTGAAATCCTGGTGCTCTACCATGTTTCAGACAGGAGGTTTCTGTAAGCACAGCTGTCCTCTGCATTCCCATTATCAGTTGGGAGAAGGGCGGGCTTTTAAACTTATGGGATGTTTTAA